TTTCGATGCATAACTTCGCTTATAAGATCCCTGACAGTGTTCCAGTCGGCATGTAGAATTTCTGGATAACATAAGAGCTTTTGTAAACGCAAAATGAAAAGATGCTGGTGGGGGGCGACGTAAAAGATAGCGTGCAAAAAGATACGCCACTTAAAACTTGATTGGTGCTTTGAGCGAGAAGAATGAGTTAAGAAACGATAGAGGATTTCAAACGTACTTCGGACTGCCAATTAATTCCGTCATAGTCATTGAGGAACTTGACGAGACATGCACCACGTTGGTTGCTTGACAGATCATCAAAGCCTCCGAGTACGAATCCTCCAATGCTCAGAATGTCTTGTTTGCAGATTCCTCTGTATACCTGAGATACCCACGCTTCCGAGACATATAACAACAGTCCAGCATTCAGCAGAGAGTTAAGGAACTGCTCCTAAGAATGAGAAAATAGGGGAGAAATGCGGAACAGAATCAGGTTACATAGGATAATTTCTGAGTAATAATTGAGAAGGTTAGTCGATCGCTGAAGAAGTGACATATTAGTTTGGCACTTAAAAGACATATTTGTACACCCGCTTCTAAAAAGATAGGGGTATTTGTATTATTCGATAGGAATGGTTTCGATGTGGTAACCAAAAATACGCAATGTTTGAGATGCATTGGGCCAAACTGGGAGCAATCTGGGTCATGGGACACTTTAATCGGGATGTACAGGGTCCATGTATCGCACAACTACTGCCGTACAGAATAGTGTGCTGACAAGCCAAGAAATGGGCTTTTAGGCCGTCAGAAACAACATCCAATCCCAACACCAGATTACTGACAGGCTAGCGCACGCAAATGGTACACAGGAAAGACAAGAGTTGGGAAAACTCCGGGACTTCGTCTCCCTTGCTATCAACGCATACTCCTCATTAGAAACTATCCCACTCACTTGAATCTATCAGGACGCACCAGAATCCATAGCTTGAAAGATCGTAAACTCATGGGGTAACTTGGTCCTTTCAAGACACAAAGTCAGACTAAGTCTCGCCTTCTGAACTGGCTTCTATAATATTCCCACTTAGATGGCATCCGATCCACTCCTCTTCCCGAAAACCAGATACACTGTGCAGAAACAAGATCTTAAATTTGAAAAATTCAGAATTCCGGGATAAGAATAAGAATTTGTTTTCTGCTCCCCGGAATAAATTTGTGGATTTGCTGGCGTTTCGGACAGCTGGGCACCTGCACACAAGCCTTATAGATCGGTCAGCCATTGCGAGCGATCTCAGCATCATTTGTCTGACAGGACGGAAAGTCAGGTTGCAATGCATCCTTCTTAATGCGACCTCCAAAGCACTCCCACTCGACTGGCGTCCGAGCGGCCGCCTCCCATTTGTTGCGTGTTGCAATCCTGAGCCATTGTGTGTAGGGGGTATGTTGGCACGTCTATATGCAGGCTTACAAGGCGCCAGTCGCCTGCGAATGATTTAAATTCCGATCTAACTTACACTGCCTTGGCGCTGGGCCCTAATGGCCTAGGTTTCAGATACACTTAAAATATTTGCTGTACCGTCTCGGAAGAGGATTAAAATGCCTTCCTTAAGTTTATAATTTAAGAAAGTGTATGAGGAGGCTCTAAAAGGTTTCTACTTATGACATTTTTCGGACCATGACATGCTCGTCCATACAGCATTGTATTTGTAAATTTAGTAATGCTACGTGTAAAGTACACAACATGGTGCACATCTAATGAGAAATTTTATGGAAAATTTATGACGTTGCTTTCAGAGCGTGAGTTATTAGTGTTTTTTTGGACTGCCGGTAGGGCTCAAAATTACTGAACAGCTGGAAACATTTCTGACAACAAAATACACCATTTCTTCAAGTATAAGTTTGAAGGAAAAACAATATTTTCGTGTGCGTTTTTCATTAAATATAATTGGATTTATGAGGACGTCAAAAATTAATGATAGAGAATATACTATTAAAGAAGCCCTTTTTCCAGAAAGTACTTTTTTTCAGGCGACCGAAAAGAAACTCTTTCAAAAGCCGGCATCCTAACATTACCGAAATATCTCGAGATAAGCCTGCATGCTACGGAGTCAGCACCTGATTACTTTGGACGCATCACCAATCAGAAACAAGATGCAAGTTCTGATAAGATCTCCGGAATTTGTAGTTCCCTGGGTTTCCTATTTCTGGATGCATTTCTCAGGATACCCGTTAGTAATAAGAATACTCTTGGAGGACTTAAGTTCCGGAAAATATATTCTGGTTGCAAGAGAAAACATGAGCAAAATATAGCTTCTCCTGCTCTGTAGCTGAGATTGGAGCCAGATACGCCTATTTCCAACCTGCCTCGCGGTGCATGGACTACCGGATAAAACCATTTGACTCGTGTGCACGAGAAAATCCCAGGAAGTCCAATTGTTTTTAAGTCTTGAATTTATCAATTGCGTGCAGCTTTTTGTATGTCTGCGATTATCTATTTAAGCAAAGGTGTCCACCACATATCTTTCTAAAAGTATGACAGTCTTCAGGATTCTCGTGATACTCAACATCAAAGTATCCACAAAACTGTGTCCAGAGCTACACTGCCGGGGCGTCCACTCAAATAAAGTGAAACGCTCTTTGTTCACACGGGGAAAAAAACAAGATAAAAAAACATACAACCACATTTAGGGAAAAACTGCTGATTGTAGGGGCAAAGAGACACTGACCTCTCTCATGACGCGTCCAGCCAATTGACCCGAACTACGGGAGTAAAAATCGGCCTCCAGCAGGCGGTAGTTGAGGGCCAGAGCTGCAATCGAAGCTACATAAACGGCATCCGCATTTAGTAAAGTGCCCGCCGGATCATTGATAGGCGAATCTGGGAGTGAGCTCATATCCGGTGAGCCGAAAATTCTATCTGAAGCGCTTGACCTCTTGCCTTAAAAATAAAAATAAACGATGGGCTCGGTATCATCTTCATGATTTATTTCTATTATATATGTGGTCCAAACTCATTCAAATATTCAACCATGCCTAAAAAGATTTTATTATCGGGTCGATGACTCATCTGAGTGCATATTCTCCACGAAGGTGCGGCTTTTCTTTGTTTGAAAAGCAGCATGAATTGCCCCGTACGCTAAGGATTAGCTGGTGTTCGTGTATACCGGTGGAGTCGCGCGATCGGGTTCAGACAAAACGTCACAAGTGGCAGACAGAATTCGGTAGATGGCTTCTCTTCTATCAAAACAGACCACATTAGGATGCTCAAGTTGGGTGCGAAAAGTATTTGAATATTTGTGTGCTCCCCGTATTTGGCGTCTTTATGACTATCCTTTGACGAGCTCAGATACATTTTCAAGTAAATAAGCGGTCTCCTGGTGGTGGGTTTTGGCGTCTAAATGGTGAGACGCGGAAAGTCACCCTAAACCGCATGACTGAACACCAATTAGCAAGGACGAAGGGTTACCATTCACCCAAGATAGCATTTGCTTGACAAAGAACTCGCCTC